TTCTCTACTCCCTGCTGTAGATATTACAGCATTTCAGTTAATTTCAGCCATAAACTAGAAACTCTTGCAGGGACTGATCATAACCTCACAGTGACCTTGTGGTACACTAAAGACTGTCCCTGTAGTAAGGTGATGTGAGCCCTTTAAGAATCTCAAAGAAAACTTTCTTCTTACCTTTTACTCAGGAGTAAGGAAATAAAGTTCTACTGTTACTGGTCTGGTCTGTTTTATTCTAAAGGACCTTTCAGAAAAGGATCTATCAGTTAGAAATTATATAATCATCCTCAGTTGCTTTTTGCACTGTTCCCTATAGCAAATACGCTAGCGCAAAGTCAGTATATTTGTTTGGTAAATGATGTGTGGAGAACTGTGTGACAAATCCACTGAAGATAAGAAAGGCTAGTGAAGTTACTGAGACCACTTCCCATGGCATCATTTATCGTTTTGTCAGCTTATAGCTTGATTTTCAAATCCCAAGGCACACTGAAGACAGAGTGCTTCACAGAGCTCTGGAATTCCATCATTAGTTTTGACTGAATATATTCTAGGGTTTTTATTTGCTTCTCTTGCTGAGGATCCAATTACCCAGTTAAACATAGGTCCTAGTTATTGAATCATCACAAAAAGAACAAGAAGGGATGTAGGATACTTGGGTGTTCCTGTGTATTTGTGCATTTACCTTACACTTTCGGAAGGCAATGTGGTGCTTTTTCTAAGAAGACACTGAAATGGAACTGTGGCAGTCTTTATGCTTTTTTTGCAGTTAAGTTTCTTGAATTCCTGATGCTTTGTGCAGATATCACAGTGCTTTAAATGCTTACTAATGATGTATTTGTTCAGTGAGTCTCAATACACCCACCTGAATATAGTTCCCCATAAATCTTCAAGAACTATAAAAAAGGATTTTCGATTCTGTCCAGGGATCAAACGCTGTAATTAGTAAATCAGTCTGGTTTTGCTGAATGACTTAATTGGCAAGTGGGAGGCACAGGATACTGTTAGATAGACATGAAATGTACAATCATCTTCCTACAGTAAATAGGTATGTGCAAAATAATTCGTTCTCCGTGTACCAAACACATTTCAATCTTGTGCAGCCAGACTCACTATAAGGTGCTTCAGAGAGTTGTGAAGTTCTCAGCATCTCACATCCTCTTGTCCTTGATTTATTGTTCTGAAGTATTTGCCTTCAGATTCAAACCAGAGAAGCTAATTTCTTCTTGAGCCCTTTCATTTTTTTTTCTCACCCCAAGAAGAAGAGGCTGCTACTTCCACTTTCAAATTATTACCTCTTTTGCCCTCTTTTGCTTTCCTTTTATCTCTCCAAACTTGCTGTCATTTGCCAGCAGAGTGAATTTAATGCATAGCAGGAAGGTATAGTTTTGCTGTCATTTGTGCTGCAGTTATTGCTATATGTTGCAAAATTTTACTTTCATTTCCTTCTTGACATGATTCCAGTTGCAAGGACACAGTAGGGCATGTAACTGTTTGGATATCTGCCTATATTTAGAGAGTGAGGGACATTCATGCCTGAGTAGGAAGTGTCTCTTCACAATGTATTTCAGTGTCTGAAGATAATTTCCCTCTAAAGCCTAGTGCACCTCATGAGCGTCTTTGCTGGAGGTGAGATTTGGAGCAGAACATTAGTAATCTATGTATATTTACAACATCACTAAGACTTGCAGGATGCCCAACATTTAGAAATTTAGACAAATGCCCAAATTCTTCTTTTTCTGCCTGGCCAAAATGTAATAAATAAAACATGTAATAAATAAAAATAAATAAATAAATAAATAAAACCATAATAAATAAAACACACATAACCCTTGTCAAATACAACGGCCAAAAAATTACGATCACCAACAACCCCAAGCTCTTTCAAGGCTAAGTTGCCTCCTCTGTGTATTTTCTGGTGAATCCCAATGAACCGTTTTAAGTTATGCTGCCTAATTGTGCTTCACTGTTCCTTTTAGTGAATTTTGGTGAGCTCTCAGAATATAGTTTTCAATTTCCTGAAGATAAGCATAAAACACATGGGATGTACATACTGGATAACAAAGACAATAATACTAAATGTGTACTGAAAGTGGTTTAATTTTACTGTAAAACTCATTCTTTTGCTTTTTTTACAGCTTGCTGAATAAACTCATGCTCTACTCCTGTGTCAGCACCAGGATACTTCATTGTCATGGGCTGATATATCACGGTTTCATTTCTTTTCTTTGTGCACCAAGAAAAGGGCTCTTCCATTTTGTTAAAATGGTGCAAAACTGTTCACCTGTAAGATTTAATTACCACATACAACATACATGCATATCTACATATGTGATTATTTTAAGGTATTTGTATGTCATGAAGGACAGAACAGGAAATATGAATATTTCTGTGACACATCAGGGCAAATCAGTTTTCTGAGTGATGGTTTGGTTGAAGGATATGCGTGTTATAGTAACTGATGAAGATATGAAACCCCTCCATGGATGAGGTTACCATCTAGAACAGGTTAGCAAATCTCATTTTCTTCCATGACATTCTGCTGGTTTTCATCATCTGAGAATTTCACCTAGAACATTTCACAACAATTCTGAGGCACTACAGATAGAGTTGTGTTCTTTTACCTGACAAATAATACGGAGACCCCCAAATCCAGGTAATTTCAGCACTTCATGAAACACTGACAGATCTGTTTCATTAGGCTTAACTGGAGCTTCCTTAATTTCAGACTTTACTTTGTATTCATTATAATTCTAACTATATTCCAGCAAAGATAAACTCCTGAAGCCTGGGTCTAACCCCACCTGCTCCTGGCTTCTCCCAAGGCAGGTATTAGCACAGTGCTGTCAAGTTGTCTAAGCTTGATAGATAGATGAAAGATGAGAAGGCTGTGCATGTTGTGTCTGAGTAAGCAGATGAAGCCAAGTAGCAACAACCACCGCAAAAGCGCCACCAGCCTGACTTTCCTCAATTTTTATACTGATTTTGCACAGCTGTAATTGACATCACAAGATTCAAGACAGCACAGCATTGCTGTCATGGTATTCAGTGGCAGCTTTTAGTCAGAAATAACGATGTGGGACGTCAACAATATCCAGAGTTTCAGTAAGGAGTTGGTGGCTGTGTTTTGGTATAGGGCCTTTAACAACCATGAATGCATTTGAAATGGAAAATGGCTTTTTTTGAACACTTGACAGAAAGTTCTGCAGTTATTCCAGGTAGTATTAGAAATAAGCTCTGAATAAAAATAAAATAATTTGCAAAAGCTGAGCTACTTTTACTGCTGGTTCCAGTGCAGTCAGCATATTGATCACTGAAGAATTAACAAATATTTTTGCTTCCAAGTGAGTTGTTCCATGTTCTAAGCCCAAAGTTTGGCTACTTTCTGGATCACTGATGGAAGTCTGAGCCAAGGAAAGGACAGCCCTGAAAGATGAATGCAATCTTTCTTCTGTTGGCTTTGGGCCATCAGTATAGAAGATGACCTCTCCCATTGCTTATGCCTACAAGAGTTTCACAGCTGCCTGCAGATCTGTTGGACCCCTTCAGAGAAAGACAATTCACTGACAAAACGTTGTTTCTTCCTATGTAGATGCTGGTTGGGTGGTGTCTTACATTTGAGGTAGTTCAACATTCCTCTTTATAACCAGTTTACTGCATTCATTGCAGGGATAGGAGCAATAGCAATAGCTGGCAA